CCCCCTTCTTCATCATCCACCCACCTTCATTGGTCACTTTCAGTCCCCCCCACTTCTTTCGTCATCATCCACCCAACTTCATTGGCCAAAACCACCCCTTCTTCATCATTCATCCACCTTCATTGCTACCACTGCCCCCCCTTTTCATAATCCACCCGCTTTCACGGGGCACCACCTATCACTCTCCCTTCATCATCCACCCACCATCATTGGCTACCATCGACCCCTAGCTCCTTTTACCATCCACCCACCATGGCAACCACCTAGCCACCTTCACTGGCCACCACTACCATTCCCCCCTTCTTCATCATCTACCCACCCTAATTTTCCCCCACTGACCACCCTCCCTTCTTTATCATCCCCCCACCTTCATTGGCTACTACCAATCACCCCCCTTCCTCATCATCCACCCACCTTCATTGGCCACCAGTGACCAGCATGATGTCTCTCAGCCTGGAGAGACAACACAGCACAAGGAATATTAACCCCTCAGACACTGTGCACAAACTGATGCAGAACGAAGTCAGATTTTGTTCTGAACGATTTCTCACACTCTGAGCATGAAAAATTAGGTTTGCTCATATGAGTTCTATGGTGCCTTAGAAGGTGCGTTTTCTGAATGAAACTTTTCCCGCACTCTGAACATGAATATGGCCTCACTCCTGTGTGAAGTCTCCCGTGCCTTACTAGACCCTCTTTCCTTGTAAAACATTTCCCACACTGCGAACAAGAAAAAGGAAGCATTCCTGTGTGACTATTCTGGTGTCTCTGAAGGTGTCTCTTCTGACTGTAACTTTTCCCGCACAATGAACATGAAAAGGGACGCTCACCCGGGTGAATTCTCTGGTGCACAAGAAGGTCTTGTTTTTGATTGAAACATTTCCTGCACTCCGAACATGAATATGGACTGACTCCATTGTGAATTCTCTCATGCCTCATCAGACTATCTTTTCGAGTGAAACTTTTCCCACACTCTGAACAGGAAAAGGGATGCTCACCTGTGTGAATTTTCTGGTGTTTAATAAGGTTTCTTTCCTGACTAAAACATTTTCCGCACTCTGAACATGAAAAAGGATGTTCACGTCTGTGACTTTTTTGGTGTTTAATAAGGTATCTTTCCTGATTGAAGGATTTCCCACACTCTGAGCAAGAAAATGTACTTGTGTGACTTCTCTGGTGTTTGATAAGGTACTTTTTCTGTCTGAAACGTTTCCCACACTCTGAGCATGAGTATGGCATCTCACCCGTATGGGTTCTATGGTGTGTTAAAAGGTGTATTTTTTGATTAAAACTTTTCCCACAGTCTGAGCATGAATATGGACGCTGCCCAGTATGAAGTCTTTCATGCCTAATCAGACCTTCTTTCCGCGTGAAACATTTCCCACACTGCAAACATGAAAAAGGACGCTCGCCTGTGTGACCTATCTGGTGTCTAATAAGGTGTCTTTTCTGGCTGTAACTTTTTCCACACAATAAGCATAGAAAAGGATGCTCGCCCGTGTGACTTCTCTGGTGCGTAACAAGGTCTCCTTTCTGAATGAAACATTTCCCGCACTCTGAACAGGAATACGGCCGCACTCCGGCGTGAAGCTTCTTGTGCCTTAAAAGACTCTCTTTCCGCGTAAAACTTTTCCCGCACTGTGAACAGGAAAAAGTGTGCACGTTGATGTGACTTCTCTGATGACTAACAAGGTATCTTTTCTGACGGAAGCATTTCCCGCACTCTGGGCATGCAAAAGGAAGCTCGCCCATGTGAATCCGCTTGTGTGAAAGAAGGTGTGCTTTTTGAATGAAGCATTTTCCACACTCTGTACAGGAGAACGGCTTCTCGCCAGTGTGGACTTTGATATGCAAGTCAAGGCTTCCTTTCTGTGCGAAACATTTTCCGCACTCGGAACAAGAAAAGGGCTTCTCGCCTGAGTGAATTCTCTGATGCCGAACAAGGTCCGACTTCCTTATAAAAAGTTTGTCACACTCCGCGCACGATAAGGTATTCTCGCCTCCGTGAACACTACCATGGGCTTGAAGGTCCAGTTTTGTTTTGAAGGATTCCCCACATTCCAAACACAATGTTGAGCCCTCCTCAATGTGCAGCTTCCAGTGTCGGGCTAGGAACACTTTCTGTTTGAAGCATTTGCCACACTCTTTGCAGGAAAACGACCGCTCATCTACATGCGTTCGCCGGTGCACGATCAGCATGGCTCTTAGCGAAAAACCTTTCCCGCACTTATTACACATATACATCCTTTTGCTCACGTGGGTTCTCTGGTGTTTCATGAGTGTATCTTTCCGAGGGAAACACTTTCCGCACTCCGAACATGAAAACGGTGTCTCCCCCGTGTGAAGCTTAAGGTGCCTTTTCAGATGCGCTTTCTCTACAAAGGACTGCCCGCACTCGCTGCACACGTAAGGTCTCTCCCCTGTGTGATACCTCAGGTGTTTGACAAGGACACATTTGTCCCTGAAAGACTTCCCGCACTCCGAACAGGAATAGGGGCGCACTCCGGTATGATGACTTGCGTGCCTAGCAAGGTGTGACTTCAATATAAAACTTTTCCCGCACTCCAAACATGCATGAGGCCGCACTTTGCTGTGAATTTTGATATGACTGACGAGACGCAACTTGGTATTAAAACACTTCCCGCACTCAGGACATGAAAATGACCGATTTTCAGGGTCTGTCCCCTGATGTACAGCGAGAGTTGATGCCAAAGCTGAACATTTGTCTTCCATAGAAAACGGAAATATCTCCTCAACTTTGTGGATAACGATATCTGAATGAGCGTGAGAAGAATTCTCGGGATTAGAAGAATCCGATGTCCCATCTGCAATGGGATCTCCTGGAGAGGTCCTCGGAGTAACGGCATGGAACGTATCAGAAGAACATGGAAATATTTCTTCTTCTTCTTTGTAGAAAACAATATCTAAAAGACCGTGAGGAGATTCCTCGGGGTTAGGAGGATCTGATCTTGTATCTGCGGTGGGAATCCTTGGAAGGATATTCGGGATGATAGTGTGTGACCCATAAGAAGGTTCCTCAGGACTAGAAGGATCTCCTGAGCTACCTCCACAGGAAAGTGCGTGTTGTATATTCACAGCATCGGGCTTTACTTCTGGAGACCATTGGATGACCCTGAAATCTATGGTGTCTTCTTCTGGAGAGGTCATGAGATGTTCCTCTGAGGTTCTCCAGACATCGTGTCCATCTGATGGAAAGAGACTTCTATTAATTATTATACCGACCACATTGTGTACATACACCGAGGAATGGAGATGGACCTTCATATGGTGTACAGTATCTCCTCCTCATTTGTTGGTCACATGACGTTATATTGAGGAATGGAGATGGACCTTCATATGGTGTACAGTATCTCCTCCTCATTTGTTGGTCACATGACGTTATATTGAGGAATGGAGATGGACCTTCATATGGTGTACAGTATCTCCTCCTCATTTGTTGGTCACATGACGTTATATTGAGGAATGGAGATGGACCTTCATATGGTGTACAGTATCTCCTCCTCATTTGTTGGTCACATGACGTTATATTGAGCCGAACAAGGTCCGACTTCCTTATAAAAAGTTTGTCACACTCCGCGCACGATAAGGTATTCTCGCCTCCGTGAACACTACCATGGGCTTGAAGGTCCAGTTTTGTTTTGAAGGATTCCCCACATTCCAAACACAATGTTGAGCCCTCCTCAATGTGCAGCTTCCAGTGTCGGGCTAGGAACACTTTCTGTTTGAAGCATTTGCCACACTCTTTGCAGGAAAACGACCGCTCATCTACATGCGTTCGCCGGTGCACGATCAGCATGGCTCTTAGCGAAAAACCTTTCCCGCACTTATTACACATATACATCCTTTTGCTCACGTGGGTTCTCTGGTGTTTCATGAGTGTATCTTTCCGAGGGAAACACTTTCCGCACTCCGAACATGAAAACGGTGTCTCCCCCGTGTGAAGCTTAAGGTGCCTTTTCAGATGCGCTTTCTCTACAAAGGACTGCCCGCACTCGCTGCACACGTAAGGTCTCTCCCCTGTGTGATACCTCAGGTGTTTGACAAGGACACATTTGTCCCTGAAAGACTTCCCGCACTCCGAACAGGAATAGGGGCGCACTCCGGTATGATGACTTGCGTGCCTAGCAAGGTGTGACTTCAATATAAAACTTTTCCCGCACTCCAAACATGCATGAGGCCGCACTTTGCTGTGAATTTTGATATGACTGACGAGACGCAACTTGGTATTAAAACACTTCCCGCACTCAGGACATGAAAATGACCGATTTTCAGGGTCTGTCCCCTGATGTACAGCGAGAGTTGATGCCAAAGCTGAACATTTGTCTTCCATAGAAAACGGAAATATCTCCTCAACTTTGTGGATAACGATATCTGAATGAGCGTGAGAAGAATTCTCGGGATTAGAAGAATCCGATGTCCCATCTGCAATGGGATCTCCTGGAGAGGTCCTCGGAGTAACGGCATGGAACGTATCAGAAGAACATGGAAATATTTCTTCTTCTTCTTTGTAGAAAACAATATCTAAAAGACCGTGAGGAGATTCCTCGGGGTTAGGAGGATCTGATCTTGTATCTGCGGTGGGAATCCTTGGAAGGATATTCGGGATGATAGTGTGTGACCCATAAGAAGGTTCCTCAGGACTAGAAGGATCTCCTGAGCTACCTCCACAGGAAAGTGCGTGTTGTATATTCACAGCATCGGGCTTTACTTCTGGAGACCATTGGATGACCCTGAAATCTATGGTGTCTTCTTCTGGAGAGGTCATGAGATGTTCCTCTGAGGTTCTCCAGACATCGTGTCCATCTGATGGAAAGAGACTTCTATTAATTATTATACCGACCACATTGTGTACATACACCGAGGAATGGAGATGGACCTTCATATGGTGTACAGTATCTCCTCCTCATTTGTTGGTCACATGACGTTATATTGAGGAATGGAGATGGACCTTCATATGGTGTACAGTATCTCCTCCTCATTTGTTGGTCACATGACGTTATATTGGGGAATGGAGATGGACCTTCATATGGTGTACAGTATCTCCTCCTCATTTGTTGGTCACATGACGTTATATTGAGGGATGGAGATGGACCTTCATATGGTGTACAGTATCTCCTCCTCATTTGTTGGTCACATGACGTTATATTGAGGGATGGAGATGGACCTTCATATGGTGTACAGTATCTCCTCCTCATTTGTTGGTCACATGACGTTATATTGGGGAATGGAGATGGACTTTCATATGTCACAATGTAAATTTATACTTTATACTCCGTGAAGTAAAATGAAAACGTGACCTGTTTCTGTATTGAGTGTTTATGACTTACTTGTGTCCGTATGTAGAGAAGGTTCCGCCTGTTCACTCTTCATAATCATCTCCCCCTCCTCCATAGACTGCTGAGCTCCTCCCACCAACGTCTCTTCTTCTTCCTCCTTATCCTCAACTTTTAGGTCTTTCAGTTCTTCACCCTAAAACCCCGAAGGTGACGGAACAGATATGTGACCAGGAAGAGATTACATCGGGGAACGTCTCCTCATAGCTTAGAATACATCTTTATATCTACACGCCGAGTCCCACCTACCTGGTCATGGTGGGGGATGGTGAGATCTTCCTGGGTGGAGTCCCGGGAATACAGGGAACGGGGACATCTCTCATGGTGGAGAGTATCCTCTCGGTCACGTGACTCCGGTCCTCCTCCATCGTCCTTCAGATGGTCATGTGATCTATTTCGGAAACCTCTCCCTGTAGACAGATAATAAAGTGAGAATGATGAGGACTGTGCCGGGATGAATGATGTCTACACGGAGATCCTCCATCGCTCTGACATCTCAGGTGGCTTCTTAGACCATGTTACAGACAATTTAATTGAGAACATGACATCGTTCTGTGTTCACAGTGGTTGGGAATGGAGGACAAGGATGGACATGACGGGGGGGGGGGGG